GCCAATACCTTCTATTCCGACACAACTTCCAAGGTGGAAATTGGAAAAGGCTGATTGGTCTCTTTTTTGTTTGGAAGCATTTATTGATTCATCTGTTCTTGTAAACATGAGCCCTGAGGATGCTACGCTCTATGTTACTGAAGTGATTATAAATGCCGCATCACGCTGTATCCCCCAGACGTCTGGACGACTCCCCAAGAGGTGCAAGCCCTGGTGGAACGATGACTGCACCACTACACGCAAGTCGCAAAACAAGGCATGGTGCATCTTCAGACGTTATCCCACTTCTAGGAATTTACTTGAATTTAAGAAAAGAAGAACCAAAGCTCGAGGGACGCGAAGGCAAGCGAAAGGCAGGTGTTGGAAAAAGTATGTCACCTCTTTGAGCAGCTTTGTTTCTTCAAAGGAAGTGTGGGATCGTCTCAGGAAGATTAGTGGAGACTATCGGTCTTTCAGGATACCCCTCTTTCCATCAGCAACATCCCTGAGGGAACAAGCAAATATTCTTGGTGAACACTTCCAGGAAATCTCTAATTCAGCCAACCATAGTGAATCCTTTAAGAGGTTTAGATCAGCAGCAGAAAAACAAACTATTTCTTTGTCTGGTGGTCAGGGTGCTCCGTATAACAAGCCATTTACACGGTTTGAGCTTGAGTTGGCTCTCGGCGTCAAAAAGAAATCCGCGGTTGGGCCGGATAGGATTCAGTACGAGATGCTAAGAAGACTGTCGCCTGAATCCCTAAGCAGTTTGCTCACTTTTTTTAACTTATTGTGGGATGCTGCTTGTTTTCCGGACTGTTGGAAAATGGCACACATAATCCCTCTACTGCAACCCAGCAAAGACCCCTTTTTACCGACAAGTTACCGCCCAATTGCTCTGACAAGCTGCCTGGGCAAAACCTATGAGAGACTCGTTAATTACCGTCTTGTACACTTTTTAGAGGCAGAGGGTGTTTCTGATAGAAATCAGTGTGGCTTCCGAGCAGGCCGCTCCACAGTAGACCACCTTGTCCGCCTGGAAACCTCTATCGGGAAGCATTTGTCCATCGCCAGCACTGTGTCTCTGTCTTTTTTGACCTACAAAAGGCTTACGACACGACTTGGAGATATGGGATCCTTCGAGACTTGTACTCGTATGGTGTCCGAGGTCGCATGCTTCGCTGTATTCAAAGCTTCTTGACGGGTTGGACCTTCCAAGTGCGTTTGGGCTCCATTCTGTCGGATGTTTTTATCCAGGAGAATGGCGTCCCTCAGGGTGGAGTATTAAGCGTTACACTTTTTGCCGTGAAGATTAATAGCCTGGGAAAGGTTATACCACCATCTGTATCCTATTCAATGTATGTGGACGATGTGCAGATATTGTTTTCCTCTTGTAACTTGTCCAGCTGTGAACGGCAACTGCTGCTCACAATCAATAAGATGAGCAAGTGGGCTGATCAAAATGCTTTAGGTTCTCCCCCGAAAAGACAATCTGTGTTCCCTTTTCACTCCGCCGTGGCCTGTTTCCAGATCCAGTGTTGCACTTGAATGATGTTGCTATATCTGTAAAGGAGGCCCACAAGTTTTTAGGAATAATATTTGATAAAAAGCTCACTTTTATACCCCACTTAAAACTTAAAAGAGTTGAAACATAAATGCCTACGTTCTTCAAACATTCTCAAAGTACTGTCGCATACAACCTCGGGGTCTGACAGACGGTACCTCTTGCGACTTTACAACTCCTTGGTACGGTCCTGCTTGGACTATGGCGCGATTGTTTATGGGTCGGCGCGTCCGTCTGCCCTAAAGATGTTGGACCCCGTCCATCATCTGGGGCTCCGACTTGCCACGGGGGCATTTCGAACATCACCTGTGCCTAGCTTGTATGCTGATACACATCACATGTCTCTAGAAAGACGAAGGCAATATTTGACTCTTTGTTCTGCTTACAAAATATACAGTTTTCCTCAACATCCCTCTTTTGATGCCCTCCAATCTGCTACATCCGTCCGACTCTTTGAAAACAAGCCAAGTATTGTTCGGCCTCTGAGTTTCAGAGTTCAAAGCATGGCAACATCACTCCAGCTTCCCGTTAGTGAAGCTGCTTTGCTGAAGAGCAATGAAAGAATTGCACCTTGGAACCTTCTGCCAATGTATTGTGACTGGTCACTGTCCAAGTACAGAAAGAGAGCTATTTCTTCACTCGTTCTTCAGCAGAAGTTTTCGGAACTGGAACAGACATACAAGGACTACTCACACTTTTACACTGATGGATCAAAAACATCAACTTTCGTGGGGTGTGTGGTTTACTCCATTCCCTTCAAAAAAGTTAGACAACTCCATACTCTTGCAAATATTTTTACTGCTGAATTGTACGCCATTTCAATGGCTGTTGAGTACTTACTGGAGAACAATATCATGAAAGCAATTCTGTTTGTCGACTCCCAGAGCGTTCTTCTAGCCATTTCGTCCTTAACAGACAGTAAAAACCTTCTCGTACAATATCTTCGGGTACGGTTAAACCGAGCACTTCAGCTAGGACACTTGATCAAATTCTGTTGGGTTCCTAGCCACGTAGGTATTTCATTCAATGAGAAAGCAGACTTGCTTGCTGGCTCTGCAAAAGAGTCCCCAAAACTGCCCCTTGGCTTGCCACACCAAGACCTGAAACCAATCATCCAGAAATCAATTATGAAGTCATGGCAGTTGGATTGCGATATGGAAAAAGAGAACAAGTTTCATGTTATCAAGCCCCAACTGGGAGTGTGGGAGAGTTCCTACCATAAAGACCGTCAGGTTGAAGTTCTCTTTTGCCGCTTACGAATAGGTCATACCCGTTTGACTCATTTGCACCTGCTCTGTGGTGAGGACGTTAAACTCTGCGACAACTGTGGGAAAGCTATGACTGTTTTTCACATCCTGTGGCATTGCAAATCTTTAAACCAAGAGCGGCGATCATGTTTTCCAGAACTTTTTCGAGGTCACCTTTTTTTTCACCCATATTTTCTGCTCGGCGATCAACCATTGGTACCATTCAATCGAGTTTTAAATTTCCTTCATAAAACTGGCTTTTTACACCAGCTGTAGCTTCCAGTTCCTATAGATTATACTTTTAAGCCTCTTGGAAAAACTTTTGTTTGGCGCAATATGGCCTAAGTTGCTCTTGCGCCAAAAAACCCCAATCATCATCATCATCATCAGCGGCTTACGTACAGACTCACTCGGCCGAACGCAACCGAGGAGTCTGGCCCTGTTCACGTGACCGATTTAAAGGTGTACTACCTTCGCGATCAGGTCGGCTATGGACGAGAAGCGGCTGATAAGGACGGGGAAAGCCCCGTCTCGGCCGGACGGCAGGCGCAGTCCGGAGCACGGATGAAGCGCGGTGGCCGGACGGTGCATGACACTGTCGGCGAGCTCTCTTCTAATAGGAGTTCCTGCCGTCACTACAATCTGCGGCGCAGGGTTTAGTCCATTTCTGTGTTTTTAACTGCATTTCCTTCCCACAGAATGCCTTTCTAGAACGACGCCGGACGCCGAGCACGTGCCGGCGCAGGACGGGGACGACCCCTCCCAGGAGGCCCGCCAGGCCAGAACGGGGGCGCTAATGCTCCCCCAAGTATCCGGGGTGGCCGCCCCGGGTCAAGGCGGCCTGACCCCCGAGGTCGGCGACCACGGAGGTGGCCCCACGATCAGGTGCCGGACGCTGGGTCCGGACAGCGCCAGATGGGCTCCGCGGATTCCGCGAGCCACAGCGCTGCCACGGCGCAGAGTGGGTCGGGCCCGCCTGCGCGGGGAGGACCAGGCTCGAGCAGGCCTCTTCGCCCTGCACGATTTCCTTCCAGGCGCAGAGAGGGACCGTCACCGCAGGGGGTGCGGGCCTGGAGCCGGCGGCCATGCCACACGCTGGCGACCTGGACGGCATGGGACGGGCAGCGGGACCTCCATTTCGTGTCCCGCCAGCGTTGGCGGGACCAGCCGAGACCGGTCCACGACACGCTCGGTGTCGAGGACCCGCCGCCTTTCCTGGGGCACACGCTGCCCGCCTTCGAGTTGGCCCCGGACCTGCAGGACCCCTGCTGGCTCTGCCGGGTGCCGGTGGTTCACCGCGAGACTCACGAGGCCAGCCCACGCCACCAGGAGCTGCTGAGAGCGGTGGGACCCCCTACGTGCGTCGAGGCGGCGCTGCGGCTCCTCCAGAGGGACCGGCCCGACCTCCTGGCCCCGGCGGCCCGGGAGCTACCTGAAGAGGGGGCCACCCCTGCAGCCGCTGCTGCTGCCTCCACCGCCGCCGCCTCCACCGCCGCGACCGCCGCCACCGCGGTCTCGGACCAATACCTCCTAGACAGCTTTCAAGCCTGCTTGTCACGTGATTTGACGTCAGCAACGTCACAGCGCGCCGGCCGACCTTGGCGCGGCCGGCCGGCTCGAGTGCGCGCTGTAGCTCTCGTCGCTCGAGCATTTCGTTCGCGTATGGCGGTAACGTGTGCCGTAAATTAAACTTGATCGATCACCATGGCTGCATGAATTACCACAGTTATGAAAAGTATACTCGTTATGAAACCAAAAATACATATTTCAGCGAAGATGTTTATGGCTAGGGTTCCGGTGGATTTGCTGTGTGCGCGACCAAAAACTGTACGCTCGCACCGTACCCGCGCGCCGCACTAGCCGGCGTCTGCAGCAGTAACTGCTCTAAAGCAAAAGCCTGAAACAAATGGCACCTTGCATGCACGTTCGTCAACGCTTTATTTTGGTTATTTACTTCGAATCTTTTATACGGGGAAGGCGTGCGCGTGCGACGCGTGGAACACCATACCCTGTGTTCTCCTTGAAGGCAGCGGGCGGCACGTATGTGTGCGTACCATTTCGTCACACCTTTGTTCAAAATTCTGTGTCACGTCTGTGTCCTGTGTTAAACAGCTTCGCTGAGTCATCCACCATCACAGAGTGGAATGGCCCCCAATTTTTTGTATCATAATTATGGAGCAAATAATACATATTGCACACTAATTGTGAAGCAGATAATACATATTTATTTATCATATTAGACACCGGGCATCAATTGAATGGCACAAAACAGAGCACTGTAAAGGCAAAGTATGCAAAATAATCACAACAGACAAAACAGATCACCAAATAACTTGTACACAATAGACCATAAAAGGTAACACAGACAGATATTACATGTATTACACTGCCCCAGACAGAAACATGTTAGAAAATCATAACGAACAGACACATCATATCATACAATATCTGTGCGAAAATTGCACAAAACGCAATTATTAGAGTACAATGTACCACCACCACTACCACCCAAGAATACAAGAAATCATTTTTTGAGAAAGATTTCAGCCTTCCTCTTCTTTGCATTTGTATCTTTTTCTGCACGCAGAAGATCATTTCTTTGTTTGCACAAATTATTCAGGACTATGTTTGCTGCACAGTTCGCAACCAGCCCGACAAGCAGCTCATAGTTGTGCCCGTTCTCACACGTCGAAATGTCTTCAAGCCTTGACAGAGAGCGTAGTGTCAGTTCTCTAACAACATTCCTTTGGTTGGACCCATGGAAAAACTGTGTGCAGCTGTTTTGTGCGACAAGCTTTTTTACCACAACCTCCGTGTGCATGACCACTGAAATTACTAGGGCTGAGGGAAACTTAAGACCACCTCGGTCTAACTGCTTGATTAGCGAATGAGTGTCTTCTTCGGGGTCGGCGTCATGTCCATTAAAAACTAGGTGCTCTCGGCAGCTTTCGCACTTCAGAACTTTTAAAGCAGCATGGGCACAATACCCACCGACATAGGCAATGACTGGCATTCGTGCTCTCAGTTCATCAAGGTCAACATCATTAACAGGAATGCAAAGGGAGCTGCCCACACCTTTGACAGTGTTTGTGTCTTCAATGCCCTTGAGGTCATTGGCACTCATCATTGGTAGAGCACTTTGAAGGCGAATCCTGCCCTCTGTTTCACACAGCTGCCGAACAGATATATGGTACTGTCCACCAGCCATTTGTCTGTACTGTCCAAAACGACTCTCTAGAGGATCCGTCTGGACTTTTCCTAACAGAATGTAGTTGAAGTGAAGCTCATCTATGCAATACTTTGCCAGCGCCAAAAGAGACTGAGCAGACAGCCTCAGGGCGCTCAACGTTTCCGGGGTGAGCACACCAGTGTCATGCCCGTATAATTCCCAAACGTCGAGCCATGTGATCAATGAACTAAGAAAGGCTAGTTTTGGGTCATCAGTAAGGCATGCCATCGGCTCTTCATAAACATTACGATGGTGGAAGCCTTTCTTTGGTGTCTTCACGTTGACAATACTCCACCAACGTAGAATGATTTTGATGAAGTCTGCTGTTGCTTTAGCATGCTGAAAATCAACTTCACCACTACGGGTTGCCAGGGCTTCGGCTACATGTGGATTAAAAACCTGCAGTACCAGTTTAACATTCTGGCGCTCCAAGCTGCTAGGATTAAGCGCTTTTGATGTCAAACCATAACCAGACTTCAGCAGTTGACCCGACTCCTCTTTATGCAAATCTCTCAAGTGCTTAAATGATGCAGTCATCTTGCACTCAGGACGAACGTTGTTGTCTGAAAGCTCAAAGCATGGGTAGAAAAAGCACGTCCCTGAGTTTTTCTGGTTAATCCAGTTGTTTCTAATGCACTTAAGGAGATGCACAGCATCTACCACGTAATACAGTGGTCGAGATGGGTCTGCTGGGTGTGGATAAACAGGGCTGAGTTTCGGCTTTTGCAAAAACGCTTTCATTGCTTTCCTGTTGAGTGCATTATTGTCACAGACGATTGCCACAACTCTGTACCCGATTTCCTCTAAGCGCAAGATAACCTTCTTCAGGATGGTGTGAAGCTCATCGCCATGTAGGGTTTTTACTGGAAGAATGTGCGCCACTTCCTTGAACGAGCTTAATAGACTTTGTATCATGAAAACGTGTACCGACGTTGCTGCCTCGTTGGAATTGACTGCAGTGCCACATATGTTTCCACCTTTATAATCAAGACAAGGCTTGATATGAATTTCATCCAGCATCAATGTCACAGTGTGTTCATGAGGTTCTAGATGCTTGAACCTCTGTGCAATATACTGCAGGAAAGTGAAATCTGAGGACTGGATTTCTGGGCACATTTGAAAAGACGAACATACACTTCTGATCGTGCTTGGATGAGGCAAAGTGAGCGTACTTGTCTTCCTCAAAAACTTATAGGCGTGTGGTGATATTGTGTACAGAATACATGCAAATACCATCACCTGAGTGCTGTAACGAATGCATCCTTTGCAAAGCAGCAGCAGCTGCTCCTTCAAAAATTTCACGGCCTCTTTCTTGCCTTCACTAACGCTTCCTTCCAGTTTGTCTAGAAGGGCAGTTACCGCACCCAGCAAGTGACGAAAGCTGCAACCTTCATCCGAAAGCATACACTGGTTGTCCAAAATATTCAGCAAGGAACTTACGTCACGCACTGAGTCTGGTACAACACTGCTTGCAAACCTCTTGACCGGTGCTCCTTGATAGCAGGCAGAGACTTCAAGGTTCTCAAACACTGTCAAAGATGCCTTCAGCCAAGGTTCACACTCGTCGACTATGTTCAAAAACATTGTGCACTTTTCTTGATGTATAACAGTCCACTTCACCGACACCGATGCTACTTGCAGGCACGCCTTTAGTTCTTCGAGCGTCGAAAAGCGGTGTCTCTCCTGTTCCACTTCAAAGGACGCCGCTGATTCTTCAAGAGCACGAGCGAGTTGGGATGCTTCTTGTCGGCTCTTTTTGGTATCGGGCGCATCTCTCGTGTTGGTTACGGGCTTCGAAAGATACGAAGGACAGGCGGGAAATATTTTCGGTACAGATCCAGGACGCAAGCGAGGCACTGGCAATGCCGCCTCAAGTACTTTTCCTGTCCTCGGATCCGTGTACGATGTGGTCCGCTCGATGCACGACGGGTCGAAGTGAACCGCGCACACCTGCACAAATGTGGAAAACGTTCGTAAACGGCTGAGCACCTAGTTCGCTGGAAAAATGCAATGCACTCCCTTTTGTACAGCCATAGTTACCATACGCGTTCGTATACGATAAACACTGCTACGCTTCGGAAGCATAAAAAGAAAGGCGCGGCACAAATATAATAACTAGCAGCATAAGAATATCAGCATAGAGGAAGCATTACCTTGGTGTATGAAGTTGGTAAGAAGTCCTTCCTGGGAATAGCACGAATCCATTTCTTCAAAGTGTCGTCGTCTTTCGGAAAAGAGAACACTTGCTCCTTCTTCCCTGTTTTGTAGTTACTGGTGCACCTTGGCACACAACACTTGTTTGGCATCGTAATTTCAGCTCTGCATCACGCACAAGAACGAAATTGCCGCAAAAACAACGACGGCAAACGATACGCGATGACGCGACCACGCCGTTTCCCAGGAGCGATTAGGGCTAGCTGACGTTGGGTCGCTGTCACTGCGGCGTCCTCCTCCGGGCTCCGGTGTCGGCCGGGCGGATGTGACGTCAAAATTATGGGCGCAGGCTTGAAAGCTGTCTAGGAGGTATTGCTCGGACACGCTGCCGCCCCCGCTGGTGCCACGGCCCTGCTTGGCCGAGCCCCTCGCCGCCCCGTTGCCACCTCCGCCCGCCGAGGACACTGTTATGGCGGAGTTGGAGGAGTTTTTGGCCGGGGACCGCCCGCCCTCCGCCGACTCGGTCCCCCCGGGGTCCGAGCCTTGAGGGAGGGGAGGTGTGGGAATCCGTCTGGCCGCGCCACCCTGGAGTCCCGTCTGTCCCGCATCTCCCTGCCCCTTCGCCCGTTCTTCCCGCGCCCTGCCAAGGCCGAGCCGCCCGCTCCCTGTTCACCTGGATCCCTGGACGGGGGCGCGTCACCGTACGGCGTGTAATCTCCACTCGGGGATCGTGCGCGGCCCGTGGCAGGTGCGTGGGTGTTCACGTGGACGGGTCGTGGGGGGGCACGTGATCGGTGGGGGCGAGGATACAAAAAGGGAAGCGGGACAAGGGGGGTCCTCTTCGGAACCTGCGGACCGTACGGTGCGAGTGTGTGCGTGACGACCACGACGAGGACGACGACGAGGAGGACGAGGAAAGGACGCTGACCACCGACGCGTGAGTTTAGTAAAGCGTTCTCAAAACGCACACTGCGTGAGTGACTTCTTGGGGAGCGAGCGAGGCACGTCCCGATCGGGCGTCGATTAGGTAGCGACCCACAAGGTGCAGCAGGGCCTACAGGATGGGCATAATATTAGGTTTTGCTGGATTGCTAGCCACGTGGGCATTGCTGGCAACGAGGCTGCAGATAAACTGGCCGTCTCTTCGCAAAATCTTCCGGTGTCACATGTACGTATCCCTTACCAAGACTTAAAAATGCCTTCATCACTTGCAGTCTTGCGATCGTGGCAGTCCGAGTGAGATGCAGAGGTTAGCAATAAGCTTCACACCATTCAGCCAGATCTTGGTATTTGGGAAACATCTTTTGACAAAAATAGATTCCACGAGGTCCTCTTATGCCGCCTGAGAATTTGCCACACCTACCTTACACATAGCTACCTACTTACTGGTGGAGAACCTCCATCCTGTGAGCGCTGTGGTGAACCTTTGACTGTTCTTCGTATTTTATTTCTTTGTCTTGGTCTTCGGCAGCAGCACAATTTTTTTTTTCTGATCTTTTCAAATATCACATTCCATTTCACCCTGCCTTGCTACTTGGTGAGCGACCAGTGATTTCATTCAAATGTCTTTTTGATTTTCTTGAAAATATTGGATTTTTAAACAAATTATAGAACTATCCCCCCATAGTTTAATTCAACTCGCCCTTGTTATTACCTTCTTTGGCGCAGTATGGCCACTGTTGGTCTTGCGCCATTAAAACCGTAAACAACAACAACCGAATGACCGACCGTCATTACTGGACTGTTACCCTGCTCACCGAGTCACACCGATCGCAGCTGCTTCCGCCTGCGCGGCTGCCGTATTCGGCGCCCTCGGCTCATCGTCTTCGTCCATGGAGGAAACCACTATCCTAATTGGTATGTCAGGCGTGGGGAAAAGTGCATCCTGCTTTCCTGGCATCTTTTTGTTGGTAAATGTTTAGCGCGGTTCTAGGGCAGTCGTCGCTCCCAAACCGAACTCGGCGTTTTGATCGCTAGGGAAATTGGGGATCGCTAGTGAAATTGAGGATCGCTAGTGTAATTGAGGATTGAACGAAACCAGGATGGCACGAATTACGGCATGTGAATTTGCAACGAACTCGAGTTGTCGGAGCTTGGGGGCGCCGGGAACATTTGAACTAACTGCGCGGTTAGCGGCTGAGACCTGCGCTGCCACGTCTGCTTTAATTGAAATGTTAGAAACCTCAAAATTAAATATGAATCGGTATATATATATATATATATATATATATATATATATATATATATATATATATATATATATATATATATATATATATATATATATATATATATATATATATATATATATGGTTGGTTTCATCTCAAATCGTGCAGGCAAAAAGGGTCGAACTTTTAATTTCAATGAAAAAAATATATGTTATGGCGCCGTTTCTAAAAACGCAGTCGCCGCAGACCGCAAGTTCGTCGGATTTTTTGTTCGCGACTTATGAATTATTAAAGAGGCCGCGGCGAAAAGCAGTGTTTTTCACACCCGTCGTGGGTTGGATGTTTCGCTTGATCTCCCGCCGTGGATTTTCAGTCCACATTATATTATATTTTTTAAAGCACTCTGTGGACACATTTAAAAGGCTCCAATACCATAAAATAATTTTAGGCGTTTTTCTTTTTTTCTGTAAAAATGTCAAAAACGCCTCCTCGGTCAATTGTTGACGAACTTTGACAATTAATTACTGGCGATCTACTTGGGTAACATCACTACTTTTTATGTCCACGGAGAGCCCAAACCACGTTCTTTATATGAATTATAAAATGACTTGGCTGTATAAAATATTCTTTACGGTACGTTTAGGTTAATGTTATGTGAAAACCAAAAAGTACCATTTTTGAAATTGATTTTCTCAAAAACCATCTTTTATTTTTTTCTATTTTTTGTTAAAATGTAGATGTGACAGTTTTCTACGCGAAAATCAAGTCTAGAAAGTGTATATTTTGTTTGCATGTTTTATATTTACGGATCAATATCGTACAAAAACGTGTTTTTACGACACGAAATGGACTTACGAATTGCGCGTCTTCACAAGGTTGGAAATGTTTTTTTTTTTTGTTTTTTTCAACGTTCCCACATAAAAATGGAATACAGTATTTCCACCCTGTTATATTTATTGATTATTTAAATTTTATTATAGGCGGCATGCTACATCGGAGGAGTTTCAAAAAGAGCAAGCAACACTTCTTAACAGACCAGCAGGTGTCGTAAAGTTTTAACGTGTAGGAGTCGGCAGACGTCGTATTGATTCGGGGCCCTCGTTGGCCTGCATGAACGTCCCGCCCTTTCGGAGCCAGCAGATGACCACGACCTTTCGCGCTCGTTGTGTTAGATAGGACGGCGCGTGACAGTAAAGCGAGCAGCGCACCCTGTGTCACGAGGAGTGAAATGGTACGATTGTGTCGTTTACGCGGCGAACAGTGACAGCCACCCAGGAGGAGTCAGTCAGAGTATTGCACAAGGGAAAGCAAAGGAATCGTTGCCTGAAAGGATGAGGACACCACGGCCTTACAATATCGACGGTCAACAACTGTTCTGCCAGCCAAAACAACGCCGCGTGCGCGCTAAAACCGGCGGCGCGGGACAGAAACCCCACAGACGCACACACGAAGATGGGCCGGTTTCGTTAGGGATGTGGGGAAATTTGAAACCAGCCATCCGTGCATGCGTGAAACGATACCGCCTGTTTGCCCCAGCTTCGAGCGCCCTATCCTTACCTTGAAACGGCCGTGCTCTCTCTCTCTCTCTCTCTCCGGGGAGATCCGATAGCACCGAAGGGTTATCTATTAAACTTGAGGAAGAAAACGAGAAGGGGCTGTTTAAGTTTAATTATCCCCACCAACCCGCTCATTCTGTCCTTATAAAGTGTTATCTCTTTTGGAAACAGCAAAGCCCGGAGACTGACATTAAAACGAGCGTGTTGGTAAATATACTTGTGTTTGTATTTTGCCCGGAGACTAGTTGGGTTGAAGTCAGCCTCCTTGTCAACTATAACCGTTTGTGAAGAGTGGGCTTCTTCCGAGATGAAAAGTCAGCGCCGGCTGACGTGTTCTTTTGAAAAAGGGAAGGGGAAAGAGAAAGTTTGAGTAACTGCAGAAACTACCTCGAAAGCTCCTCTCCCGATATGAAGCTTGAAGCATAGTCTCGGTTACCTTCTCGCGCATCGCCTGCTCGAATCTATTCTTCACTTTCTTTCGTAAAGCCACTGTTCCGCACAGCCGTCGTGGATGTGCGTAATAGAGGGAGGAACAGATTCGAGCATCATCTGGACGCCGTCATCCTGCCAGACTTCAATGTCGTGGGACCGACTCGTGTGTGTTTTTTCGCCCCGCTGAACTTAGTTTCTCGAATGCGTTTTTGAACGTTTTTTTTTTTAATGTTTTTTTACTAATTGTTTGTTAGCACTATTCAGTTGTTGGGTTTATTTTGTCATGGCGTAGCGGCCTAGGCGGTGATGTAGAGAGCGTGTTTGCACGCATTTGTTTGCGTCCCGTTTAGGGAATGCCCGGAGGAGTTGGTTTTTGTTCTTGCCATGTGCGGCTGAGTTTTCCCGTCTTTATTAAATTATTGATATTTTTTTGTTTTACCTTTACGTGCCGTCGACTTCTTTGTCTGACTCTTCACCAGGCGTGGACCTATCGCCTTGCCACCACTCGAACCTAAATACTTTATATTTTTTTAACGCAATTTTCGTTAAAGGAGCGGTGCAACTATATTTAATTGGAATGTTTTTCACTCTTTACGAGCTTACTGGCACACCTGGGACTTAAGGATACTCACACGCAGCGCCACTGGCCAAGAAACTCCTTTGTTGCGGTGTAATTTCAAGGACAAAAGCGATGATTTTCATTCAATCTCTCCTTTGCAAAATTTGATGACGTAACTCGGGGATCGCAGTACACCCAAGTGACGATATTTGAATGCGGTTCATAGATTAGACCCGAGCATTGCGTGGGCACTCGACTTGGGCTCGTGATAATTGCTAGCTCGAGAAGCATCCGGGTAGTAACCCGTGTCCAATCGCTGCAGCGACGACAACAGCCGAGCCATAACAATGTCTGGAACTCAGCGCGTGTCCTGAGCTTTGCCAACCCCAGCGCGTGGCTATGATCAACCCTGGCGGCATATAATCGGCTCCAGATC